AGGTGGACAGCCGTCCCCAAGGAGTTAAGACAACTTTTAGGATGTCAATATACAAGTATTTACAGACTTACAGCTGGGTTATCTCGCATTCCGAGATTCTTGCCTAATTTAAGCTAAAATGACTACTAGGCTATAAATAATCATTGTTCTACTCACCGTTTCTCCTATATAGTCAATAGTCTTCATCGTAATCAAATTTCCTTCCTCGTCCGAACTGTTACAAAGACTGACAACATCCACATCGGCGCTCTCATCATTTTCGGGCCACAACTGCGTTTACCTTTGCTCATCTCCTCCTTATCGACCGACCGTTTATCACTTTTACCGTCCTTTGCAGACTTCTTGGGAGTCTTCTTAGGAGTCTTCAGCCTAACATCCAGAGTCTTCTCCTCTTCGTCCACCGTACTGATATCGTAAACATTCATATCGGGTGCAGTGACCAGAGAGTTCCTGGTCATCCTCGGTTTAGGTTTAGTATCATAATTACCGCCACCGTTACTCACTTGCAAGGTGCGGGTTAGTTTGACGGTCGGTACCATTTTGTTGGCGGACTTGTCGCCGGCGTTCGATTTGGGTTTGCGGCCGGCTTTTTTCTTTTTGGCTGGGGCGACTGGTTTGGTTTCATCGTCGGTGTCTGCTTCTTCTGGTGTAGTACTCCTTTGCGATCGCTTCGATTGTTCAGCTTTGTAAGTGAACATGCTGTTTGGACGTTTGAGAAGCTCTTGGTGCTTTTGGAGTTCTTCGAGAGCTTTGTTGAGGGTGACGGTGCGTTTCATTAACTAAGGGAGAAAAACAACTTTATAATATAGCTCTGATTTTAATCATTTCTGAAGATGAACTTCTTTAGGTGCGACTAGGGAGTAAATTTACGAGATGAAACTGAAAATATGACGATAGTCCGTTACGCCTAAGTATTTATACTGAAAACAGATTTTGTAACTATGGACAGTAGGGGCAGTCGGGGCTACTGCCAAGGGCGGCAAATTTTCGGGAGCGGCAAATGTGATAGTGAGAAAAAAATTCTATACAATATAATTAACTCATTTTTTTAATAACATTTTTTATTTCAATAAATATAATTAACAAAACATAATACGATTGCAATTGAAAATTTGGAAATTTGGCTTATATAAAGTTTGAAAGCTGAAAGTTTAAGAAAAATATGTTCTTCAGATCTAGAGCGCCCTTAAGATAACGAATTAGTGCACTTCCAAGCTTATATCGCAAAAAAAAAATTAAACTAGCGACGCTTGGCATTGTGCTTTAAGTCAAGTTACTGAAACTTCCCGACACATTTTATAAAGAGCTTTAAAATTTTTGAAAAATGAAAAAAAGTGAATTTAAAAAACTTTTATATTTTTAATTTTGTTTTTTTTTGTGAACTTTTATTTATTAAGATTAAAATTTTCTTTAAACTTTGAAACAACTATATTTTTGAGATTTTAAATTTTTGAAAAAAGGACTTTTTTCAAGAAAAAAAAACTTTGAAAGAAAATGTTACCCCGTATTTATAGTAATGGGCCAAAAATCAAAAATAAAAATTTTTGCATTTCTCGACGTTTTGAAGGTTTCTAAACTTTTGGCATACCTAAGACAAAATGGATGTGTGTGTGTGTTTTTTCGTCCGCGTTTTCGGGCGCACGGATCAACCGATTTGAATGGTTTAAAAAACATTCGATCCCTATTGCTAGGGAGATGTGCTGCTTAATTTTTGGCAAAGACAGGCCCCGCAATTTCGAAGATACGGAGCAAAGAGTGCAGAAAATAGAATGTTTTTGAGAGAACGGAGTATCGGATTTGAATGATCCAAAAAACGTTCAATTAGTAATGAATGGGAGAAGAGGTGAGTAGTTTTTGGCAAAGACAGGTCCCGCCATTTCGAAGATACTGAGCTAACAGTGCAAAAAATGGCAGTTTTTGAGTGAACTAAGCGTCCGACTTGAATGATCTAAAAGACTTTCTGCTTGTATTGACAAAACAATTGCATTTGAGGATAAAAAATTCTAACATCTTTTTTTTATTTTCAAAAAATATTTTTGTAATTTTGGATTAGAAATTCAAAAAATGACCGAGGCTAAGCACAGTCTAAGCGCCACAAATGTTACAAATGTTTACCCAAGTGCGTTTAAACTGTTTATGTACTGGAGCACTTTTCCAGTTTTGTGAAAACTATTAAAAAATGTGAAAATGCCGGCAAGCTAAGAACAGTATAAGTGAAAATGTCGCACAGAATTGTTTGCAAATGCGTTTAGACTGTGACAATTAGGGAGCACGTTTTCGGCTAGTTTCTTCGAAACGGCTAGACCCGCCTTCGCCAAAAACTAGTCAGCACGTCTCCTTATCAATACAAATAGAATGTTTTTTAAATGATTCAAATCGGTTGAACCGTGTTCCCATAATCGTCGACAAAAATTTGTAACCGAACACACACACACACACATAAACATCCATTTTTTCTAAAAATAAGGTATGCCAAAATGTTAAGAAACCTTTGAAACATAAAGATATATAAAAATTGTCATTTTGCGATTACTATAACTTATGCTATGGTAAATCATTTAAGTAATCAACAGTACATTTATTTTTAATATTCAAACAACTTATCAAAACCAAAATGCTGAAACGAATTCATGGCATTTCAATGTGTTTCTGGGAAAAAAACTGTTTCTAAATACGAACGATTCGACATACGAGCGCGATTACGCAACGGATTATTAAATTATTATTAAATATGAAATAAGAGCCAAACGACCAGAATAAATAAATAAATCAACTAGTAAACTTTTATCTTACCTGCATGTCCTGATAAGGAGTATCGATTGGTTTCACACATTGCGGATCAATAATACCCCGAAAGTGTTTGCCACCAAAAAATCTTACATCGTAATTTCCATCAGCATTAATTTTAATAACCTGAAAACAGTAAAAAAAACATATATAATTAACAAGTAACTAAGTATTTAATAATATAATTAGTAAGACAAAATTAAAAGTAAATCCAACTTATAGATCTGTTATAAATAGTTTTCTTTTTTATTAAAAGAATAAATAAATTACAAATATTTATTACCTTAGCAGGCCAATAAGTGTATCCCTTCTGCTTGGCAAAAACCAATTCGTGTCTAGGTAAACAAGGTTTTGCAAACCAGAGAGGATCATCCTGTTCATTTGAATGCCGGTAGCAATCTCTGCACTGTCTAATTTCACTCAAATCGAACGTGCTATCATTTAACATATATTTAGCAGCTTCCATCTGCTCAGAGGACACTGAAATATAGACACAATCATTTACTAAGAAGTTCGATTTTTGATTGATTCTATTTTTTTTTACCTCCAAACAGTATACCGACATGATGAACAATATCAGAAACGTCTGAAGAGAATCCGGTGAGGCTTTCATAAGCTCCACGTCTAATTTTGTCCTGCATTTTTCTTAGAGACATTGGAAATCCACGAATCAGGTAAAGGGAACACCAGGCCTCGTCGCTTGAAGTGATTTGTGTTTTACCAGAAGGAATCATATCACTTAGGGATTCATCTGGCAACTGAAAAAGAAACTAGCTGTAAGTGGAATTCTGTCTTAAGGCAATTAAGGCATCGTGCCTTAAGGCAAATTGCTGGACCAAAATTCCCGTACCAAAAATTATTATTTTTAACTTCCCGAAGGAGAAGTTTATGTTTTCATCAAAAAATCCGATTTGCTAATTTTATGTTTTCTCGACGTTTCAACCCATTCTGAATCGAATGAGACCAAATTTAAGGGAAAAGTATGTGTGTGTGTGTGCGTGTATGTGAACGGATTTTTTGCCGTAAATCGAAGTTTTCTCAAAAACGGTTGGACCGATTTCAAAAATTTAAAAGCCATTCGATGTATCTCGATGAGGACTAGCGTTTCTGAGTTTTGTGTGACGATCGTCCGGGCCATTTTGTTGTAAATCGCAGAAAAGTGAAAATTTTTCGTCCACGTTTTAGCCTGCAATTCTTAATCGATTTTGAAAATTCAAAAACCGTTCGAAAGATATTGGTTGGGAATCGTGCTGATTAGTTTTTGGTAGAGATCGGCCAGACCGTTTTCTTGTAATAAAATGTAAAAAAAATTTTTTCGACGATTTTTATCATTATTTTTTTGACGGTAGATACTATAGTTTTTTAGATCATACTAAATATTACGGCCCTACGACAATTGGTTTAAGTTTGAAAATTCGTCAAAGTTTGCAAAAATTGGTATTGGTATTTTTTTGGCATTTGTCAAAATTAGACCTTTGATCGACGTTTTCTCAAAAACGCCTGAACCGATTTTAGAAATTTAAAAGCCATTTGATGTATCGCAATGAGAACTATCATTTGTCAGTTTTGTGCGACGATCGGCCAAGCCGATCCTTTAAAATTTGGAAAAAGGTGTTAAACTTTTCGTCCACATTTAGGCTCATACTACCGAATCGATTTAAAAAAATCAAAAACTGTTCGTAAGATATTAGTTGGGAATGATACTGATTAATTTTAGGTGAAAATCTACCGAGCCGTTTTCTTGTAATTAACTGTTGAAAAAAAAATTTAAGCCGATTTTTATGGAACTTTTTTAGCGATATATATCATGGTCTTATAAAACTTACTGAAATACTACGGTCTTACGACAAGTAGTTTAATTTTAAAAATTCATCAAAGTTTCATCATCAAGTAAACATTGGTACGGAATCCATAGGAATGTAAACAAAATTTATACTTATTGTTAAAATCTCTATAAAACATCTGATAATTTGATATGCATATGTCTAATGATCATTTTTGACCGCCAAATGGAATATTTATTACTTTGTTCATAGGATCTCCGAAACCGCTAGACCTGCCTCCATGGAAATATGATCAATTCTTCATCTTGTCAACACAAGTAAAATGTTTTTTGAATTATTAAAATCGGACATTTTGGGCACTTTTTGCCTCGTATCTTCGAAACGGCTAGACCTGCCTTCGCCAAAAACAAATCAGCACGTCTCCTTATCAATGCGAATCGAATGTTTTTTGAATTATTCAAATCGCTTCATCCGTGTTCCCGAAATCGTCGACGAAAATTTGTATCCGCACACACATACACACACACACACACACAAACACATACATCCATTTTTTCTAAAGTATGCCAAAATATTCAGAAACCTTGAAACGTAAAGACATATAAAAAATTTCATTTTCGATTTTTTTGCGATTACTATAACTTATCCTACGAGAAGTTAAATGTAGTTGAGCTTAAATTGTAAGACTTGCTCTAATTATATTTACCCAGGTGTGTATCCTGTCATAAGTAAACTGCAGCAGATAATTTAACTCTTTAACAGTACAATCGACCAAACCGCCTTCCTTCTGTTCCAAATTAGCCAGCCGACAAACATAACAATGTGTATCAGTCCCCACTTTACTAGAGAACTCATCCTCAAAGTCCTCATCGTCACATTTAATCTCCTTTTTATCAATGTCTTCCTCAACAGATTTATTTTTAACTGCAGATGCCAACGGAAGTAGTTTTGTGTTTTGTGACAAGGTAGAAACACCATTATCTTCTGATGAAGTCTTGTCGGACGTCGAATTAGGTTTAACCGTATCTGTAAATATCTACCATTATTAAATAATCCAAATATTGCTTTAAATTACATTAATTCCTACCGTCGTCTTCTTCTTCAATGATGACAACATCACTGGAGTCGCTTTCGATGCTATTTTCTTCTACAGTGTCATTGAGTTTTCCATTAACACTTTTCATCAGTATCGATTTGTCCCTGGAGGAATCATTTAAGGAGTCATTTTTATGCGCAGCTTTAGTACTGCTCATAAAACCCATGCTCAATTTTACACAAGTCGAATGAAATACACGGTGGCACCCTTGGCATGCTGTCACATCACCGGCTAGATGACACTCGTAACAATACCTAGAAAAATAAATAAATAAAGAAATAAATAAATAAATATATATATATATATATATATATATATATATATATATAAATCTCGTGTCACGATGTTGGTTCGCGATGGACGCCCAAACTACTGAACCGATTTTAAATTTTATTGGCACATCGTGTGCATATATATCCAACTTAGGTTATAGGAAATTTTGAAAAGTAAATTTGTAATATAAATATATAATTTATATAAATTTCTAAAAATTTTGACAGAAAATGACCAAAAAAAAACAAAATAAAATGACAAATGTCAAAATTTAAGGAAATTTCGATATATCATTTTTGAAAAAAAAATTGACATTTTAAAAAATAAAATTCAAAAACATGTACATATATAGAAATATCCAACATTTAAATCCAAATTTGATGAAATGCTATATTCAAAATCACTGTTTACAGTTTTGAATCTAATTAAAAATCAATGCTTAGAAATTTGAATAAATGTTGACATGAAAAAAAATTAAATATCATTTGTCAGTATTTATGAAAATAATTATATAAATAGATTTACGATTTAGATTTAATTGATTAGCTTACCAAATTATTTCGGAAACCAAAACTTCATCAAAACTTTATAGATAAGAGATCAAAATAAAAAAGCGGCATATTGAATTTAAAATTAATCATAAACAAAATTTTGACATTTCACAAAAAAATGTTTAACGACTTACTTCAATAAGAAGCAAATAAATTAATTATTCCAAGTTATGTTATAGGCAATATTGCCAAGCAAATTATAGATACAAACATTATTGTAAAATAAATATTATCATATTATATTAATTTTGGACCAAGAAGGAATTATTTTGACATTTATAAATTTAGTGCATATTTGAAATTGACATTCACTATTTTTCAATTAAATGCAAATGTAAAAAATCAAATATTTATATAAAAAATTATATATTTAGATAAAGATACTGCGTTGATTTAGACTAAAATTTAATTTATTATTTAATTAAAAAAAAATGACAAATAAAATTAAAATAAACAAAACACTATGATGCATTGGAATTAATTATCAAAGTGTAAAGAAATTTGTGTAACCAAAATATAATATTATTATTAATATATCAGTTAAGATATATTTTGATTGTCATCGCAAATGCTAATCTTACAGGAAATTGTAACCTTTTAAATGGAATAGTACAATCTGAGGGTATCATTGGAATCTGACAAAAACAAACTAGACAAACTAAATATTATATCATATTATATTAAATTTTGACCGAAAAGAAAATATTTTGACAATTATAATTAATTTGAAATAAAATGCAAATGTCAAAAATCAGATCTTTATGTAAAAAAATATTTATTTCCACAATATTCCTGTGTTGATTTAGCCAAACTTATGAATTTAACAATTATATAATTATTCATTGATGACTTAAAATAATTATTAATTTATTAACAAATAAATAATATTTGAAAGAAAATTTTATTGACATATATGACATGACAAAAGTATAATAAACAAAAAACTATGATGCGAGTGAATTAATTTTTGAAGTATGAAATGTCAAATAATTTCGAAAATTATAACATGTTTTTAACTATTTGTCAAAGAATCAGAGTCCAAATCTATTAAGTATTTGATTTTTGGCACTTTTATTAATTTTTTATCAATTTAGGCATATTTTTTATGGCAAAACAACGTTTGCCGGGTTAGCTAGTATATATATATAAATATTCTTATGTTACTCAATTATTATTACCAGTCATGTTTAGGTAACGAAGGAATTTCTGTTGGTATTTTGTAGGTCTGAGATTCTACTCCTCTCTTTTTGCCTCGGGCACCCACTGCATGCACTTGCACCAATAAACCATCCTGGTGACATTTTCTTACAATGTTCTCACCTTCTTCTACAAATAGTAAAAATAAAAGTTAAACTAGTGGTATATGGCATCGTGCCTTAAGGCAATTATTAAAACTTCCCGCACCAAAAATTAAATTTTTTAAAAAATAAATTTTCTTTATAAACTTTGAATAAATCGATTTTAGAGATTTTTAATTTTTTTTTAAAAAAATTGGCCTTTTTGAAAAAAATGATTTTTTAATACTTGGAAATATTTTGGAAATTTTGAACTTTTTTTCAAAGCAATCGCGATACGTTAGCTGCGCAGAAGCGAAATATCGAAGCGCGTGAGCGCCGCGTCGCAGTATAACAGATAAATATTGGTACGGAATCCATAGAAAAGTGAACAAAATTTATTCTTATTATTAAAATCTTTATAATATATGTGATAATTTGATGTGCATATGTCTAATAATCATTTTTGTCCGCCAAATGGCATTTTTTAACTTCCCGTAGGGTAAGTTATTGTAATGGGCCGAAAATCGAAAATGAAATTTTTTGCATTTCTCGACGTTTTGAAGGTTTCTGAACATTTTACTGGCATACTACAGAAAAAATGGATGCCTGTGTACGTGTGTGTGTGTTTTGTATGTCCGAAATTTTGCGTCCACGTTTTCGAGCGCACGGATCAACCGAATTGAATGGTTTAAAAAACATTCGATCCCTATTGATAGGGCGATGTGCTAATTAGTTTTTGGCAAAGGCAGGTCCAGCCTTTACGGAGATACGGAGCAAAGAGTGCAGAAAATAGAAATAGAGTTTTTGATAGAACGGAGCATCCGATTTGAATGATCTAAAAAACATTCAATTAGTAATGATTGGGAGAAGTGTTTATTAGTTTTTGGCAAAGACAGGCCCGGTCATTTGGAAGATACGGAGCTAAATGTGCAAAAAATGGCAGTTTTTGAGAAAACTAATTACTAATTGAATGTTTTTAGATCATTCAAATCAGATGCTCCATTCTCTCAAAAACTCGATGTCTACTTTGTGCTCTCTTTGCTCTTTATCTCCGTAACTGCTGGACCTGCCTTTGCCAAAAACTAATCAGCACATCTCCCTATCAATAGGAATCGAATGTTTTTTGAACCATTCAAATCGGTTGATCCGTGCGCCCGGAAACGTGACTGGAAAATTGTATCCAAACTTACACACACACACACACATTAATTTTTTCTGAGGTATGCCAAAATGTTCAGAACCTTCAAAACGTCGAGAAATGTAAAAGTTTCAATTTCGATTTTCGGCCCATTACAATAACTTACCCTACAGGAGTTAACAAACATTATATATATATATATATATATATATATATATATATATATATATGTGTGTGTGTTAATTTTTATATAATTTTGATGTTGAAATATGTGATATTCAGTTTTCAGGGCAATACATCAATTAAAAAATTTGTCTGACTTTAAAACATTTTTATTTTTTCCATACGTTTCGACACATAGTTTTGTGTCATCTTCAGTGGACTATGTAATTGTAATAATCCTAATTATTTCCTAATTATAATTGTTCACAATGCACAATGAAACCAATTCTTGTCACTTTAAATGTAACAATAATAAATTTTTTAAATGAGTTATTTTATGAATTTGTAAAATACATCCCGCTATACTGTATTCACTCTTGCATCGGAATACAGTATAGCGGGATGTATTTTACAAATTCATAAAATAACTCATTCAAAAAATTTATTATTGTTACATTTAAAGTGACAAGAATTGGTTTCATTGTGCATTGTGAACAATTATAATTAGGAAATAATTAGGATTATTACAATTACATAGTCCACTGAAGATGACACAAAACTATGTGTCGAAACGTATGGAAAAAATAAAAATGTTTTAAAGTCAGACAATTTTTTAATTGATGTATTGCCCTGAAAACTGAATATCATACATATGTGTATATATATATATATATATATGTGTATATATATATATATACATCTATTACCTTGATTAATTGATAGAATCCTCGCAACATTTTTCCCCAAACGAAAAGCATCAGCAGCCTGCCTCTGGTGATTAACCAATCTGATAGCCTCCCAGACTGCTTTCACCTCTTCAGGATCAGTACTTCTGAACACCGGCATCTTGTCAAATCTTATTATTATACTCTAAATCTATTAACTCTAGATTTGTTCTAGAAAATCACAGTCGCTTAAGATAATTCAATGTCTTGTCATTTGTAAAAACGAGATTGTACGTTTCAGCATGACATTATTCCATGAATCAGGAATAGAGAGGGTTAATGGTTAACCATAGTAGTGATTGGTTGTCTTCAAACTTTAGATTTGTCTTGATTTATTTTGTACTGAGTATGTGACATACTCATCGATGAATTGTTTCATCAGGATAAGTAATCAGGTTAAATCTTCTTCGATGATATAGTCAATTGTTCTGCACACACCAATTTGCAGGCGTGGCTTTTGCGAAGTAAGAAGCGGTAGCAGGGCTACATTTGGAAATTGTCCAATCTGCAAAAAAAAATCTAAATTATTTATCTATAATATCACATCATATGGTGAGGATTGACAAATCTTATATATAAAAATGAATCGCAAAATGTGTTGGTTAGCGCATAACTCAACAACGCCTGGACCAATTTGGCCAATTCTTTTTTAAAAATGTTCGTTGATATACAAGGATGCTAAAAACAGCCCTTTTCTTTTTCTCATACAATCGTTTTCTAACTAAAACGTAGGATCATATATTGCTATTATATAAATTTCATATTAAATTACAAGCACTCACTGTATACTCTTTCTAAACGATTATTCGAATTTTGATAAATCTTTCTGAAGTGTGTTAAGGAAATTTTTTAGGATGTATGTGATTATAAAGTTCTGGGATGTATGTGCAATATTGTAGAAATAAATGGAAAAAATTGCAAAAAACGACATGTCATTGTTTGCATTGAAAATAAATGAAAACTATCATCTGCCAAAATTTTCAATTTACTTATGAACCTAGACAATATTAGAATATGTACAAATTCAAAAATATGAATAAGAAAAATGAAATACTGCATGTCTACAAAACAATAATTATTGTTTTTAGATAATCGGTAAATATTAGTATATTATATTAAAAAATTGTATGCGTGGGTACAGGATAACGTCTGTCGAGTCACCTAGTTTATAATAAACACACAGACATATTAAATTAATAAAGTATTAAAAAAATTATATATTTTTTTAACTGTCCTATGAGCTGTTGTGATACGTCTTAAACGACGTCGCTTTTATATATGGCAACCCAACGGTTGACCATGTGTTGACCAATCTCTAATTGAATTTATTTTGACAACTTCTGTAATAATGATAATTTTTTCCAATAACGCAGCAATGTTCCAAAAAACTATTTTCACCTAGAGACATATTGTTAAATCCCATAGCTTTAAACACTAAACCACGAGGACTTGATTTAAATAAATTGAAAATTGTGATATTATTTTCACACACAGTACTTAAGATTTTAAGGCTTGTCGAAATTCGTTTCAACAAATAAATTGCTCGGATTGTAACTTAATATACATTGGTCAAACTCATCAAAATATAGTAAAAATCTTAAGCAACACGAAAACAATACCAAAAATTCTAAACAATTTAAAACGATATTACTGTTTATCGGTTTTGATTGGAGACGCATTGCTCTAACCACTAATCCGAGGGGGAGCCAAGTAATTTAAATAGAAAGTTGTAACATTATTTTTATACACAGTACGTACTTAAGATTTTTGACTAGATTTTAATGCTTGTCGAAATCTGATTCAACAAATTAATTGCTCGGATTGTAATTTAATATACATTGGTCAAACTCATAAAAATTTCGTAAAAATCTTAAGCAACACGAAAACAATTCCAAAAACTCTAAACAATTTAAAATGATATTAGATAAACCCATAGCTCTAACCACTAAACCACGTGGGAACCCACTGATTTAAATTAATAGAAAATTGTGATATTATTTGTATACATAATACTTAGGATTATATTTTTTTATAAGACTTATCGAAATCTGGTTCATCAAATTAATTGCTCAAATTGTGATTCATTATATTGGTCAACCAATATTTAATAAAACCTCTCCATCAACAAATTCAAAAACCCTAAAAAGCTATTTTCACTTAGAAACTATCTCTATCTTGGAGACCCATAGCTCTAACCACTAATCCACTGGAAAGCCCATTGATTTAAATGAAAATAAAATAAAAAATTTAATGCATTATTCGTATACATAGTACTTAAATTTTTTATAGAAATTTAAAGGCTTATCGAAATTTGGTTCATCAAATTAATTGCTCTAATTGTGATTCAATTTATATTGGCAAATCTTGCCAAAATTTAATAAAACTCCTTCAGCAACCCAAAACAATTCGAAAAACGCAAAACTATTTAAAACAATGTCAAATACAATACGTATAAACTTTTTTAATCCGACTTTTCATCATGTTGAAGAAAATTTATCCGAAAGACGTTTCAATTTATCGTTTATCAAATTAATTGCTAAGATTGTGATTTAATTTATATTGGTGAAACTAGACAAAATTTATTAAAAAACCTTCGGCAAATCAAAACAATTTCAAAAACGCCAAACAATTTAAAACGATGTCAAATACAATATATATAGAATTTTTTTTAATCCGACTTTTCATCATGTTGAAGAAAATTTATCCGTAAGACGTTTCGCAGGATGTTGTTTTATTAACTACACAACGACAAAATTAATTTTTAGATTCTGTTTCAGAACTTATTTATAGTCATTTATATTTTCGAACGCCTTAGAAATCTGGTTTATCAAATTAATTGCACAAATTGTGATTTAATAAATATTAGTGATTGATTAAAATGAATAAAAAATGGGACATTATTTGTATGCATAGTACTTAAAATGTTTCGGTTAAGACTAGATTAAGGCTTATCGAAATTTAGTTTATCAAATTAATTGCTCAGATTGTGATTTATTATATATTGGTGAAACTAAACAAAATTTAATAAAAATCCTTCAGCAACACAAAAATAATTCCGACATTTAAAACAAAATCAAAACAGATTTTTTTAACCCGACTATTCTAATTATTTACTCCAAAGGAACTAAATGTTTTAATTAAGTTAATTGTTCTGGCTAAAACATAATAAATTACGGAATATTTTTATAATTTTTTAAAACGATGACTTTACTAAAAATATGTGTTTGCCAGTCTTTTATGCACTTTTAAAAAAATTGTAAACACAATTCATTCAAAATTTAGATGTCAATAACTCTGTACATACAACAATGTAACTCAAAATTATCAACAAATCATATAGTTTTAAATGTTTCATGAATTATTAATAGTTTGGTTTAGTACTGTGTAATAGTGTAGTGTATTTAATTTTCTGTAAATATCTATCTGCAAGTTCTATAATTTCATATCATTATATATATATATATATATATATATATATATATATATATTCTTTCTTTCTATATTATATATATAATTAACTTCCCGTAGGGTAAGTTATTGTAATGGGCCGAAAATCGGAATTGAAAATTTTAACATTTCTCGACGTTTTGAAGGTTTCTGAACGTTTTGGCATACCTCAGAAAAAATGGATGTGTGTGTGTGTGTATGTATGTATGGATACAAATTTCCAGTCACGTTTTAGGGCGCACGGATCAACCGATTTCAGTGGTTCAAAAAACATTCGATTCCTATTGATAGGGAAAAGAGCTGATTAGTTTTTCGCAAAGGCAGGTCCAGCCGTTTCGGAGATACGGAGCAAAGAGCGCAGAAAATAGAAATCGAATTTTTGAGAGAATGGACTATCCGATTTGAATGATCTAAAAAACATTCAATTAGTAATGATTGGGAGAAGTGCTTTTTAGTTTTTCGTAAAGGCAGGCGCAGCCATTTCGAAGATACGGAGCTAAATATGTAAAAAATGGCAGTTTTTGAGAGAGTTAAGCGTCCGATTTAAATGATTCAAAGAACTTTCTGCTTGTCTTAACAAAATAATTGATTTTGGAAAAAAAAATTGTTTCAATTTTTTTTTTAATTTTTTGTATATCGAAAGTAATTCAGATTTTATTTTTAATTCTGACTGTAGTTCTAATATACTTTAAACAAATATTTTCAACTCTTCAGTTTATATAATTCTTATAAATATTAGACAATGTTACAATATTGATAATAATCTATTTGAGAACATTCAGTATTCCTCGAACATTTCGTTACGGTACGGCAATTTGCCTTAAGGTACGATGCCATAATTGCCTCAAGACAGAATTTCACTTACAGCTAGTTTATTCCTGAACTAATATAATAATAACTGCATTCACTAGCACTTTTATACTGAAACTGACCACCAGTCCATAAAAATATTCCATTGTCAAAGGAATGGTTTAAAATTCAAATTGTTTATGAAACTCGAAGACGGCGGACATTCAGATAATGCAAAATTCATTAAACAATAATTCAACATTGGCATAAACAAGTCGGCCGAATGTTTTGAGAATACATATACATCTACACACATACACACACATATATATATACACGATTTCTCGCATAATACGCCACCTTTCTGCGCTTTGAAATAAATTGTCGCTGTAATAATACAATTTCATGCTTAAGACGCTTTTTTGGACCGGTTTTAATTTACAAGCTTTCACAGTACATTGATATTATTATAACAAGGTTTATAAGAATATTTTACAATTATAGTGGGTAAGTTATTGTAATGGGCCGAAAATCGAAATTGAAAAATTTTACATTTCTCGACGTCTTGAACGTTTCTGAACATTTTGGCATACCTCAGAAAAAATTGATGTGTGTGTGTGCGTGTGTGTGTGTGTGTGTGTATGTATGTATGGATACAAATTTCCAGTCACGTTTTCGGGCGCACGGATCAACCGATTTGAATGGTTCAAAAAACATTCGATTCCTATCGATAGGGAGAAGAGCTGATTAGTTTTTGGCAAAGGCAGGTCCAGCCGTTTCGGGGATACGGAGCAAAGAGTGCAGAAAATAGAAATCGAGTTTTTGAGAGAACGGAGCATCCGATTTGAATGATCTTAAAAACATTCAATTAGTAATGACTGGGAGAAGTGTTTATTAGTATTTGGCAAAGGCAGGCCCAG